CATATTAACTATCAAAATAATCTAACTTAACCAATTAATCAATCTAGCAGACTCGCCAGCAATGACCAAAAGGACTAAACTCTCGGTTTATTTTTTTTTTTTTTGTTACAGGGAAATCCTCTCACCTCCACAGGTCCAATGCAGGCAGCGCCCCATGAGGAGATCACCAGAGCGTGTCCAGTTGTCCGTTTTCCGAGTAAGAGACTATACAGCTGAAAGCTCCCGACCCTCCAAGGCAAGCTCCGATTAAGTCAGGACCGCGCACAGGAGAGAGCATTAAATCCACACCAATAACTGATAGACATCCTTAAATCAACCTCCTAACCAACAGTCTTTCGCCTAGAGATTCCCAATAAGAAAAACCTCGGATATTAGCTCTCTTCTACTTGCTCGCTAACAAACCACTCCTCTTCTTTGTTCTGTTCCAGGCTAAAAAGCTGCCTTATTTTTGTTTTTTGTTGATTTTTATGTGTGGAACGCTGACTCTCTTCTCTCTCCATTCCTCATTTCTCACTGTCATCAACCTGTTGCAGAGCCAGAGCACAAGCACAACCACAACCACAACTACACCGCCACCACCACCAACAAAGCTCTGCATTGTACCCATTTCTTTGTCCTCTGTCTAGACATAAATGCCCCTTCTGTGTCTGCACCATCTTCACTCAACCCACAATTTATCACTTCACCCACTAAACCACAATCACAAAACCCCAACTAAATCTCACCCCCATTTCGCTTAATCTAGTAAAAAAAAAAAAAGAGTAAACCCACATGGATCTCTTCTCTTTACCCTCCTCACCTCTTATTCTTTACTTCTCCCTCACTCTGTTTCTTCTTTCAAGAGGTAAATGTAGAAAAAATTTCTCTCTTTTATTTTATTTTTATTTTTATCTGGGTTTCTCTCACATTGTTATGGAATTTTCAAAATCGAAGCTTGTATGCTAAAAATTCTCTCTTTTTTCATCTGGGTTCTCTCACTTTTCATGGAATTTTCAAAAATCAAAGCTTATATGGTAACAAATCTTCATGCTCTGTTCTTTCTCAGGTGTTTTAGGGACTACATTCACTTTCGTCAACAAATGTGACAACACTGTATGGCCTGGAATTCTCGCAAATGCAGGCAGTCCTAGACTCGACAGCACTGGATTCGAGCTCCCCAAGGACAGCTCACGCACATTCCAAGCCCCAACCGGCTGGTCCGGTCGGTTCTGGGGCCGAACCGGATGTAACTTCGATGGATCCGAGTCGGGTTCATGTTCCACCGCCGACTGTGGGTCGGGCCAAGCCGAATGCAACGGAGCCGGAGCTACTCCTCCCGCGACTCTCGCCGAGATCACGCTCGGGTCGGGCGGGCAGGACTTCTACGACGTGAGTCTTGTTGACGGGTACAACTTGCCCATGATAGTGGAAACGAGTGGCGGGTCGGGCATGTGTGCGACGACTGGGTGTGTGACCGACTTGAATTTGCAATGCCCGGCTGAGCTGAGAGTGGGAGATGGAGAAGCGTGTAAGAGCGCGTGTGAGGCGTTTGGGAGTCCAGAGTATTGTTGTAAAGACGCGTTTAATTCACCGGCGGCTTGTAAGCCGTCGGTTTACTCGGAGATGTTCAAGTCGGCTTGTCCAAGATCATATAGCTACGCATACGATGATCCTACGAGTACGTTCACTTGTTCGGGTGCTGATTACACGGTGACGTTTTGCCCTTCCATGCCAAGGTAAAGAGTGATATTCAAATATTATTTGTCCTTTTTACGTTTGATTTTTTTTATTTTAGTTTTTTACATATATATATATTTTTTATTTTGTTATATTTAAAGTTTTTTCTTTGCTAATTTTTTTTTCTTAAAATTAATTTTTCTTTAAAATTGTATAAAAAATGTTACGTTAACTATCATATAATATAAAAACTATATTATATTAAAATTTAAATTTATGTAAATAATTTGAATTATATATAATAAAATATTTTAAAGATTCAAGTGAAAAATAATAATTTTAAAGATCGAGCGAAGAATTAATTTGGCCTATCCCTTTCTATGCTTGTAGTCTGTATTATGTGGAATATGTTTCGGATGTGAATTAAGATTTGCTTTGGTTACTCATTGCTGGGAATTAAATCAAGTTGTTGGGTCACTTTCAATGCCAATACAAAATAGGAATGGTTTGTCTTCGGGTAAAAATTTTAACCGAATCAGGGAGTTGATAGATGTGTTTGGTTACTATTTTAAAACATATTTTTGGAAGAAAATTTTAAAAAGTATGTTTAGTTACAAATTTTCTTAAAAAAAATTTTAAATTACTTTTTTCTATTACACATTAATTCATAATTTTTTCTCTTTCACATATCTACGCAATTACAATAAAATATCAAATCATCCCAAACTTTCAAACTCTAAAATTATTTTCAAAATATATAACTAAACAAATCAAAAAAATTTCAAAACTCTTTCCTTCAATTTTTTTTTTTGAAAATTTATCTCAAAACACAAATCAACCATACCCAATATCTTTGACGGGTAAGACTTATTAAACAGAATAATTAGATCATATTTTTCACAAACCCTTACTAGTCAGGGCCTTTTAACTATCAAATTTAGTTCAACTTTCAATTAGAGATCAACAAAAATCCATATGGAATTTAGTTGGTGCATTACATTCCCACCAAAGTCTGACAAACCATTAATATTGCAATTTTTTGTTAAATTTTTTCAACTTAGTACTTAATTTTTGGTCTGCAGTCAAAAATCTACAAGAGATTCACCATACTCATCAACAACAACAGCAGATGGGTCTGGGTCAGGAATGACGGGTTCTGGTTCAGGGTCAGAAACAATGGGTTCGGGCTCGGGTTCAGGGTCGGCTATGTTAGCTGATGGGTCATGGTTAGCTGGTTTGGCCATGGGTGATTCAACCATGACTCTATCTCCTTCTACTCTACATTCTCTACTCATTACCTCTTCAACTTTCTCTTTTATTCTCTCTTTTCTTTACTTGTAATCTTTCTTTCTCCCAAAATATTCAATGCCATATATATTTAAAATGTGTTCTGTTTTTCTTTGATTTAAAATCACCTCCCTGCTTGTTTTTTTTTGGCATGTTCTCAAAGCCTTTCAGGTTCTGTTATTGATTGGTGTGAAGAAACCAAGATGTGAAGAGATTGGAATTCGATTTGGTAATAGAAAATGAGAGTGTAAATGTAATGTGAACAAACATGTAGATTGGTAGGCTAAGAATCACTTTGCTGGGATTGCAAGCATTGCTTTTACTTTTTTTTATTTATCATTGTTTGGTGTGTTAGTGTTTATTGTTTTTTATCTCATCTTTGGGTAGAGGATGTGATAATGATGATTATGATGTTGAATGGTTGGGAATTTTTTTGTCTTTTGAAGGAAAAATGAGTTCATTTCTTTGAAATTAAGGCTGGATTTGATTCATTGTAGTGGAGACTAGAATAAAATTGTCATATTATAAAATATTAATTTTATGAATAGGCTAAGAAAAAGTTATTTTGTGAAATAATTCTATTGTCCGTGATAACCCAACTAGCTGGCCATCACCCATGTTCCCTCATATCATATAGAAAAATTAAAAAATAGATTGAAATTTAAATGTCATATATTAGGGCTTTATTTGGCACAGTTTATTGCTTGTAATTTTTTTATTTTTTTTTATTTTGAGAATTTATATCATAAAGTGTAGTTTCTCCTCATAATTTACTAGATACAAATTTTAAATAAATTTCAAAAAGTTGATTATCTTGAAATTATGAGAGATTTTCTTCTACTTTCACAAAAAGTTGTTTTTAATTTATGATTTCTTTTATTTTTTTTTTGTTTTTTTTAATGTCATAAATTGGTATATAAGTACTAAAAATTTTATAAAACAATTTTTTTTAAAAAAAAAAAACCATAACACGTGCTACTTAAAATGTTTTGATTCTTATCTTCAATGACATAACTCTCATCTCTTAAGGAATGAGAGATGATCACACCATAAAATGGTGGGCTCTCTCACACCAAATTTATATTTATATGGTGGTCTACAAACCTTCAAGAATAATCTGAAAGTTGATTTGAATTTAAACACTAAGCATTGTGTCTCTTTGTAACAGATAATGACTCTTGGTAAAGTAGGCAAGGTTTGTATAAATAGTTGGCAAAGAAGGTTCTACTTTGCATTGAATGCCAACCTATATTAAGACCAATTTTTGTCTCCGGATTATTCCATCTTGCGTGATAAACACCCTCACGGGTATTTCAATCAATTGCCATTGTCAAGTTCACCTTACAGTGGTATCAGAGCTTGAATTATACATTATCGCAGATGTCGAAATACAGTCCGAAAGAACAAAAATTTTCCGAACTCTTTTTACCAAAAATTCAAAAAATTATTGACCATCAATCTTCGATATTGGGTAATTCCGTTTGTTTATTTAATCATCACCAACATATTGTATTCCCAAAAAACTATCCAAAGAAAATAACCGTCGGTGGTGCTATTGTTCCGAACCATGCCGAAAATGAGGCCGAATTGTATCGTTGGAAGCAATTTTATAAAATATTTTTCGGTTCAAATTGCGTCTCCAAATTAGTCCCATCTTGTTCTTCTCAAAATTTTGATCACGACAGTGCAATTCGTTGTGAAAAACAACGAAAAATTGACCCACAAAGTTCAATTTTCAGTGTTTGGTCTCCGACACCTGTCACCAGAGAAGATAATCGGAACAATAAAGCCGTTACAAATTCTGTTTTGAAAGATCAGACATTTGGGCTAAAGACAAAAGGGCCAAAACTTAGAGTTACTACTAGGAAATCTATCCTATCGAGCTTGAAAATTAAAAACAAGCTAATTGGGCCAATTTTGCTAAAAGCCCAAACTAGCCAGGCGCAGCCCAATAGCCTTGAGCCACAAATAGAGCCCAGCAGCCCAAAGCCACAGGCGCAGCCCAAGCCAGATACGCAACCTAGCCCAGCAACTCAGCCAGGCCAGCACGTAGACCCGCGTGCCAGCCTAGACTCGCGCAACCCACTCTCAACTTGACCCACATTCCAACCAAGGTTCGCGCCCTTCTGTCCAGCACCTTGATCTGCCAGTTCAGCACCAACCGGCCCAAACCAGTTCAACCCAGCCCTTGGACTAGCAGCGGCCTGGTCCAAACGGTTTTTTGGCTCGTTCTCACTCATTTCAAGGCCGTTTTCAATCATTTAAAAGCCAAAATTTCTAGAATTCTTCTAAGAATTTTTTCATGGGTAATTGTACTAAATTTTTGGAAGAAATAATTAGACAAGGATGCTATCCAAGGGTGTTACATAATAAGACATCCAAAGGAAAAATATTTAATTAGCACCGTTGTGCCCCTTGGGCTCGTAACTATTTTTACAATACTCATAAGCAAAGTATTGGGTTTAATGAACCATTGGGTTTTCATCATTCTTCTTACCCAAAGCAAGACGACCGATTTTTTGCTTATCACAAGGGTCGGCTCAACAACTACAAGGCTTATCCTTATTAAGACTTGTTGTTGTATTTAATTTTTCTTATTTGTTTATTTTAGTTTGTAATATCCACATTTGAATTTTTTATTGTAACACGTTTTGTTTTTAGTATGGCTATTAAAAATGCCATGGATTCTTCAAGAATTGAGATGCTTAATGGAAATAATTTCCGAGCATAAAAACGCCACATTTCTTATCTTCTTACACATGAAAAAACATTGCACACTTTATCCACTTATAAACCAAATGATGATTCTAATTGGTTTCAAAATAAGTGGATAGAAGATGACGCAATGGCAAAGGCAACTATGTTACATAATATGGAAGACAACATTATTCCGCTTTTTGAAGAACATAAAACTGCAAAACAATTAATGAAAGCACTAGAAAGTAAGTATGTAGTTCAATCGGACACTCAAATTTAATTGCTCTTGGACAAATATAATAACACTCGTATGAGTGATAATGATAGTGTTGGTAATCATGTTAATCAAATGGAATTAATTGCTAAAGAATTATTCAACGTTGTTCACCCTTTATCAGACAAGATGCAAGTAACTACCATACTTAATAGTCTTCCATTGTCTTGGGATCATGTTGTCGCATCTCTAACTCATAGTGGACGAGAGATTTCAATGGTAACATTGCTTGTACTCTTAGTTTTGGAAGAAGAAGAAAGAATGGAGCGAAAGTGTGATAACCCTGTTTCGTAATTAGCTAATTGGTCCTTATTATGAGTTTGATCATATGTCTAATATGATTTTGTGTGCCTTTATGTACAAATGTGTGATTTTGAATTTCTATCTGTTCACCGTAGGAATATCTGTTTGCTTATCTGCTTTGAGAATTAAATTGAAGGCCTTATCGGCCACAGAATTTGAAATTGATTACGCCATTGTGATTGGCATAATTTTTAAAGCCTACGGTGAAATTTACTTGAAAATTGATATGAATCAAAATAATTAGACTCAGAACGAAGAATTAAGTGCTCAATTATTTAATATTAGAATAATGTAATTGAGTGGGGCTTTATAAAAGGGGCTCATTATATTCAATTCCTCTCTTGTATATCATTTTGGCTGATTTTAACTCTAAGAAAAGGGGAGAGAGTCGGCTAGAGAGAGAGAGAGAGAGGGAAACAATTGGAGATTTGAACAAGGAACTTGAATAACTTGGACATTCAACTAGAATTTATGAAGAATTGAACCTCTAGGTAAGTAAATTCATGGATTTTGAATTGTAATTTTGTGAATTCAAAGTTGAATAATGGCCAAGAACATGGATTAAATTCATTATAAGGAAATTGAGTTGATTTGGTTATATTTAAAGTCAATAGATGCATGCACGTAGGAAATTACTATGAATTTCCATATTTGAACACAATGTGTATAATCTATGTTGAATCTTGTTTGAAATCCATGTATTTGATCATCTCTTCACCAATTAAGTTGATATGAATGAATATTTCTCACATGCAAGAGTAGATCATGGAGGTATGGGCTTTGCATGTTTGAATTTGATGTGTTGGTAATGAGTTTGGGTTAATTTGAGGCATGCATGTAAGTAATTCAAGAAATTGAGCTTCATTGTGTTGTAATTTGGTATTGGTATCATGATTAGCATATGTATATGTGACATTTGAGCCATGGCATGCAAGAAATGTTGGTTAAAGTGTTGAATTCGAGCTCAAGAACCATTCTGGAAAACCCAGAATTTTTGATGTCCACTCGAGCGGGGGAACCGCCGCTCGAGCGGGGATTTCCAGCTCCCAGTATTTTCTTACAGGCATGGTCTCCGCTCGAGCGGGGAGCTATGTAGGATGAACTTCCGCTCGAGCATCCGAGTGCACGCTCGAGCGTAAAAATGATACAACCAGCACTTTTGCAGACCTAATGGGTCCGCTCGAGCGAGGAATCCCACGCTCGAGCGGGGACCCTATTTTCTGAAATTATGAAAAGACATTCTGTGTTTCATTTTTCGTTCCCTTTCACTTCTAAGCACTCTTAGGCATACATTGAGCATTGTAATTGAGTTAAAGAGATAAGAATAAAGCCTAAAGAGAAATATGTGAATTAAAGAACGGATTGAATTATTTGTGACCCATATGTGTTATATGATGTGTAAGGTCAAGCTCCAGGGCAAATCCACAAGCCGATCACTTTGAGTAATATCTGAAATATGTTGTTGTCCAATTGCTTACTTCTATGTAAGTTTTGTAAAGGTCAATAGTTTGAATAGTGGACAAAGTTTGATATGAAAGTTTGAAAGGCCTAAAAGGCCAGTTTGATATGAAAGTTTGAAAGGCCTAAAAGGCCAGTTCGATATGAAAGTTTGAAAAGCTTAAAAGGCCAGTTTGATATTAAAATTTGATTGGGCCAAAGGCTGATTGACATGAATGATTGGGCCGAAGGCCGATTGACATAAATGATTGGGCCAAAGGCCGTTTTGACACAAATGAAAGTTTGACATGCATGAATGGGCCAGAGGCCAGTTTGACATGCATGAATGGGCCAGAGGCCAGTTTGACATGGATGGATGGGCCAAAGGCCAGTTTGACATGAATGAAAGATAAATGGGCCAAAGGCCAATATGTTTGGAACCACAGTCACTTGACTTAAATTGTGTATATATATATATATATGTTAAATAGAAATATGAATTGGGCCGAAGGCCGTTTGGAGCATGTTGTTCTATATACCGTTTGAATAACTCTTTTATTTGATATTATTCACTGGGCTATCGCTCACGCTCATTCATGTGTTTGTAGGTGAACCAAGAGAAGTCCAAACCCAGCCTCAGTGAAGTCTGTGTAGAACAACTAAAGTTTTGAAGAGTCAGCCCTTGCGTCTCACGCACGAGACAAGTCTTCGCCTTTT